GGGTCCGGGCTGGGGATTCGAACCCGCCACCTTAGGTGTACGTGGCTGGCGCCTTAGCCGGGTGAGCTATAGGCGCCGAGCCTAAATCCCATTTTTGCCACTTAGTATCTTAATTGGAAACCTAACTCGACTTTTCTGGACCTCAGTAACCCCATCTGTGAAATGGGAATGATGATAGTGCCTATTTTATAGGATTATTGTAAAGATTAAATTAGCCCATTGGAGAAAGCCTACTGGAGCAGGATGGTGGAAGTAATCCACACCAGAGTATAAGTGAAAAATGGATATATTTATCTGTAGTGGATTTAAAAATAAAAACAAGCCAGGTGTTGTGGCAGGTGCCTGTAGTCCCAGCTACTTGGGAGGCAGAGGCAAGAGAATCACTTGAGGACGGCACCTGTGGCTCAAAGGAGTAGGGCACTGGCCCCATATGCCAGAGGTGGCGGGTTCAAACCCAGCCCCAGCCAAAAAAAAGAGAATCGCTTGAGCCCTAGAGTCTGAGGTTGCTGTGATGCTGTGAGCTATGACACCATGGCACTCTACTCAGGGCAACAAAGTGAGACTCTGTCTCAGAAAAATAAAATGAAATTAAAATAAAATAACATAAAATATAGTCCGCCTTTTTTATTTTTGAGATGGGATCTCACAATGTTGACCAGGCTGGTCTCAAAATCCTGGGCTCAAGAGATCCTCCCACTTCAGCCTCTCAAATAGCTATGATTTATAGGGCACATACCACTGCGCCAGGCTCACTCTGCTTTTTATTGTCCCTATATGCATATAATTCCAAATGACATTGGTGATAAAGTACTCCTCCCAAAAAATCTTCTTTTAATCTGAGTTTCAACATTTGCAGTGTTTATTCTTGAGTTTTAATAATACATATGTAAGCTTGGGCGGCCCCTGTAGCTCAAAGGAGTAGGGCACCAGTCCCATATACTGGAGGTGGTGGCTTCAAACCCAGCCCCAGACAAAAACTGGAAAAAAAGAAAAAAATAATAATATATATGTAACGTTCAAATTAGCACATTGTTATAACTTATCCATTAGCAAACACTGTATTCTACATGGCAGTTAGAGAACGCAGAGTTCTCTCACACAGTTCTTCACCACCCCTACCATTCCCTCATCCCCCCGCTCCACACTTACAGGTTCAGGTACATGTTTGTTTGTTTGTTAATAGCCAGTTAATTTTTCAGTTACATGTCTTTATCAGCTTAGAATTTAGTTTCCTTCTGGAGCCAATTTCTGTTGCCAAGGCTGTTATCACACATCCTTTGCTTTTAAACAGAAGATTTGGAATAAACAAGGATGGCACAGTGATTGAAAAGAGGAAGAAACAGAACTTGACTCACTTCAATGCTGTCATTTTTTGTGACCTCTTGGAATTCTTGTGTTTTAAAATCTCTGGAATTTATTGCAAAATAGGGATTTTATGAATCTCTACCAAATGTATCTATTATGACCAGGTGCCGTGGCTTACACCTATAATCCTAGCACTCTGGGAGGCCAAGTCAGGTGGATTGCTTGAACTCAGGAGTTTGAGACCAGCCTAAACAAGAGTGAGACACTGACTCTACTAAAAAGAGAAAATTTAGCTGGGCGTTGGGGTGGGCGCCTGTAGTCACGGTTCAGGAGGCTGAGGCAAAAGGAAACCCAAGCCTCAGAGTTTGAAGTTGATTGAGCTATGACATCATTCCATTCTACCCAGGGTGGCAAAGTGAGATTCTGATTAAAAAAAATAGTATCTCTTATGTTTAAGACTTTTCATGGCTCGGCACCTGTGGCTCAAGTGGCTAAGGCGCCAGGCACATACACCTAAGGTGGCAGGTTCGAATCCAGCCTGGACCTGCCAAACAACAATGACAGCTGCAACCAAAAAATAGCTGGGCATTGTGGCAGGTGTCTGTGGTCCCAACTACTTGGGAGCCTGAGGCAGGAGACTTGCTTAAGCCCAGGAGTTGGAGGTTGTTATGAGCTGTGAAGCCACGGCACTCCACCCAGGGGGATAGCTTGAGGCTCTGTCTCAAAAAAAAAAAAAAAAGACTTTTCATAACTATTTGCATATTTGCTCCTGCAAAATTAAAATAAATAGTTTTTTGCTCAGCTATGAGCTTGTGCTTGCTCAATTGACAAATTAATTATATTGCCCGTCGAACGTGAAAATTCAAAGACAATCAGCTTTGACAAAGTGTGGCAATGTATCAGAATTTAAAGAGCAGGGCCAGGTGTAGTGGCTGACACCTGTAATCCCAGCACTCTGGGAGGCTGGGGTGGGGGTGAGGGTGTGGATTGCTTGAATGTAGGAGTTCCAGACCAGCCTGTGCAAGAGTGAGATCCTGCCTCTACTGAAAATAGAAAAACTAGTCGGGCCATGGTGGGCACCTGTAGTCCCAGTTACTTGGGAGGCTGAAACAAGAGAATCACCTGAGCCCAAGAGTTTGAGGTTGCTGTGAGCTATGATTGCAGAGCACCCTATCCATGATGACAAAGTGAGACTCTGTCTCAAAAAAAAAAAATTATAATAAGAAATAAAAAATAAAAAAGGCCTGGCATTGTGGTAGGTGCCTCTACTTGGGAGGCTGAGACAAGAGGATCTCTTGAGCTCAAGAGTTTGAGGTCGCTGTGAGCTGTGATGCCAAGGCACTCTATGGAGGGCAACATAGCAAGACTCTATCTCAAAAATAAATAAATAAATAATAAATATTTGATAAGGCTTGAACAAGAAGCATGCATCAATAACCTCATCACTTAAGGCTCATTTAATTAAAAAGTTTAAGATACATGTAAAAATGATTTATAAATCATGAAACACTGAATGGGTATACAGTAAAGAAGAAAGGGAGGAAGAGGAGGAGAAAAGTCCAATTAATGATGAATACCTCATAATAAAGATTTATTACATTCATTTAGTGTTTCATGCTTGCTTTAGCAGCATATATACTAAAATTGGAACAATACAGAAAAGATTAGTATGACCCCTGTGCAAGGATGACATGAAAATTCGTGAAGCAGTCCATAAAAAAGAAAAATAGCAAAGCAAACAAAATGTAAATATCCATTCCCAAATGTCAAGGTTGAGAAGCCTTATTGTAAATGCAGGAAGGAAGTGGGTGGTAACAGGTGGGAAAAATAGAGGATTTTTTTCAGGTGGGAAAATACCATGTTTTTATGCTAATGAAGGAGAATATATACTATGTGTGTATATATATGTATACATACATATATATATCTCCTAAATTGTAGGAGAAAACTTGATAATTCCTGTAAAGAGATAGTGCTCAAATACACTGTGGAATTGATAAACCTACACAAAAAAATATTTATAGAGAATAAACAGGCAAAGGAAGATCTACCTCCTCTGGATTTTTTTTTTTGAGACAGAGTCTCACTATGTTGCCCTCGATAGAGAGCCTGGTGTCACAGCTCACAACAACCTCAAACTCCTGGGCTTAAGTGATTCTCTTGCCTTAGCCTCCCAAGTAGCTGGGACTACAGGCGCCCACCCCAGTGCCCAGCTATTTTTGGTTGTAGTTGTCATTGTTGTTTAGCTGGCCCAGGCTGGGTTCAAACCCACCAGCCTCAGTGTATGTGGCTGACACCATAACCACTGTGCTACGGGCACTGAGCCATACTCTGGAATATTTTTAATATTCATCTTGAAATAATTCAAGATGAATTATTACTTCATTTTGAAAATTAATTAGCCAAAAAGAGGATAGGTTCCTTGGTTAAGTCTCATTAACCTGATATAAGTCAGATCATACTAATTTTAATTAAATTGAAAGTGCTTATATGGCATTAAACTAACTCAGGACACACAGGAGAGATATATCCAAGGGAATAAGATCTCCTCTTCCTCATAGAATCATCTCCTAAAATGATAATTTTGGAACGGGAGGACACTTTAGAAGTTATCTCATTTTGATTCTTCATTTTATATGAAGAAACTGAGGTCCTAGGATGGTAATTGTCCATGAACCTTTAGATAAGCCACGTAACAGGTACAGAATGATGTGGACATCGAAGAGTGTTGAATCAAACTTGGTGGAGGAACAGTTTACTTATGTAAATGTTTTGCTGCACTTAGGTTTATCTCTAAATGTCTAGCAGCCTCCCAAGAATGAAAATCTTTCCCAGCTGCAGTAGACATTTTTCTTAGATCTGTCTTTTGTACAAGGGGAAAAACATAACACTTGTAAATTGCTCTAAGGGAAACATTACTTAACATCCCGTAAGTGTCTTCTGGCAGTGATAGGCTTCCTTTCAGTGGAAAAGTAACTTCAGGACAAAGAATTTGCCTGAACAACTGAAGGGAATAAATATCACCATCTTCCTGACCGATTTTCCCTGTTTTCAGTAGGGGGATGCCTGGTAAGGCAACATAATCTGGGGTTTAGAATGTCCAGGTTGGCATTTTATTTATGACATAGACAAGCAAGCATAGAGCCCTTTCAGACATAAATGCAGAGTCAGGAGAGTTTGCCCCAGTCAGAGTTCAACTCCCATAAAGTTTTCTAAAGATTTAACAACTCTCTCCAAGAAACTCCTGTGATTCCCATTGCTTTACTAACCATAACCAATGTCTTATTTCTCTGGCTGATTCTTTCTTTGCTGATTCCTTCCTTCTTCCTGATCCCTAAATGCTCATTCTATCTCCGAATTCCACAAGAACCTCCTGACTCTCCAGTGTTTATTTCTACTTTTTTTCTTTTGAGACAGAGTCTCACTTTGTCACCCTAGGTAGAGTGCTGTGGTGTCACAGCTCACAGCAACCTCAAACTCTTGGGCTTGAGTGATTCTTTTGCCTCAGCCTGCCTCCCAAGTAGCTGGTACTACAGGTGCCTGCCACAACACCTGGCTATTTTTAGAGATGAGGTCACGCTCTGGCTCAGGCTGGTCTCAAACCTGTGAGCTCAGGCAATCCACCTGCCTCGGCCTCCCAGAGTGCTGGGATTACCAGTGTGAGCCACTGCACCCGGCCTATTTCTACTTTTGATCTTTCATGTGCATTTCTATTCACCTAGGCCATCAGCTACCCTCTTTAATACTCAGCACTAAGTTCATCTCTCATTCTCTTTCCAAAGGACTCCAAGCCAAACTACCTATTCTAGGAGTTTGCCCAGGACAATCTCAGTTTATGACTGCTGTCCCAGCAGAATTAATTACAATATGCACTTTCATGCTTTAATAGAGTTTGAGGAACATGGTCATCCTTATTTCCATCAAAGGCACTGCCATTTTCGAAGTCACCTGGACTTAAAATCTCAACCTAACTTACAGCTGCTAAATCCAATGCAGTAGAATCTCCTCTTAGAACATATTTCAAATCTCCCTGTATTTTTACATTCTTAGTAACATTCACCAAGCTTTTACATATCTGGATCACTAAAATAGCTTTTACTCCCTGACAACTCTGCCTCCCATCTGTCTACCCTCTAAACCATCAGGTGCACTGTAATTCGATGTTGTAAAAATCTTTGCATGAAAATCTATTTATTTAATTAGTTTAGTTTTCTCAACTGTAAAATGCTCTGCTTGAAAACTTTGGGCCATGCATGATGGCTCATACCTGTAATCTGAGAAGTTTTGTGGGCTAGGACAGGAAGATAGCTTGAGGTCAGGAGTTCAAGACAAAACTTAGAGAGACCCTCATTTGTGGACTCAACTCATTGGGAGGTTGAGACAGGAGGATCCCTTCAGCCTAGGTATTTGAGGTTGCAGTGAGCTATGATGACACTACTGCACTCTAGCTGGGACAACAGAGTAAGACCCTGTCAGTAATGTAGTGAGCCCTGGCACATGGATGGTAAGCAATGAATGAATGTAAACTATAAAAAATTTAAATGTAGGGTGGCATCTGTGGCTCAAAGGAGTAAGGCACTGGCCCTGTATGCTGGAGGTGGCGAGTTCAAATCCAATCCCGGCCAAAAACTGCAAAAAAAAAAAAAAAAATTAAATGTAATAATGAGCACTTACTAGTAAGTGATATTAATATTTACTATGTAAGAAGCCATCTGTCTTGGCCCTCAAAAAGCTTAATTCATTCAACATATTTTTGAGTGCCTACTGTATGCACTTCACTGTTCCAGGCATTGGAGCGACAGTGATGATAGGTATGGCCCATGACTATGTAAAAAACTTAAACAGCAATACAAAACAGCCAGTTCATGATTCAGGGAGAGGACTTAAGAATACTAGAGATGAAATAGCACTTTTGATTTTTTCAAAGTACTGTGAAAGCAGAAACTGAAGCAGATACTCATATAACTATGTTCACTGCAGTATTATTCGCTATGGCCAAAGGTAGAAATAACCCCAGTGTTGGTGAACAGATGAATGATAAGCAAAATGTGGTCTGTCTATACTATGGAATATTATTATTATTTTTTTTATTTTTTTTATTTTGCAGTTTTTGGCCGGGGTTGGGCTTGAACCCACCACCTCCAGCATGTGGGGCCAGCACCCTACCCCTCTGAGCCACAGGGCCACCCACTATGGAATATTATTAAGCCATAAAATGGAATAAATTTAAGTTCTGAAACATGCCACAATCGTGGGTGAACATCAAAGACATTGTTACATGAAAGAAGACCGACACAAAAGGACAAATAGTGTATGATTCCACTTATATGAAGTATCTAGAATAGGCAAATATGTGGAGACAGAAAATAGATTAGAATTTATAGGGGCTGGATGGAGGGAGAATGGGGAATGAAAAGTTTTAAAAATAGATAAATGGTGCTTGTCACACAACATTATGAATGTAATTAATACCATTGAATTATACATTTATGATGGTTAAGAGGGCAAATTTTATGTTAAATATAGTTAGTAACATAATATGCTAAAAACCATTGAACATTTTAGATGGGTAAACTATATCTCAATAAAACTGTTTTTTAAAAAAAACATGTGATGCTTGGCACCACTTGCTCAGTGAGGAGGACATTGGCCACATCCCCGAGGCAGGCAGGTTCGTGCCTGGCCCTGGTCTGCTAAGCAACAATGACAACTGCAACCAATAAATAGCTGGGCATTGTGGCAGGTGCCTGTAATCCCAGCTACTCGGGAGGCTGAGGCAAGAGATTCGCTTAAGCCCAAGAGTTTGAGGTTGCTGTGAGCAGTGATGCTATAGCACCCTACCAAGGCGGACATAGTAAGATTCTATCTCAGAAAAAAAAAATGTGAGAGTCAAATGTAGAAACTTTGGAATGGCTTAGAAAGAACAAAAATGACAATTGCAAGCAAATGGTTCTCAAAGTAGTGGAGAAAAGCAAATCGTGCCCCAATGTGGACAATCTGTAATGTGCTTTGCCCTGCTCAGAGAAAAAAGTTGACCAGCACTCTGGGAGGCAGAGGTGAGTGGATTGCTTGAGCTCACATGTTTGAGACCAGCCTAAGCCAGAGCAAGACCTGTCTCTAAAAACAGCCGGACATTGTGGTGGGTGCCTGTAGTCCTAGCTACTTGGGAGGCTGAGGCAAGAGAATCACTTGAGGCTCGGCACTCATAGCACAGTGGTCATGGCGCTGGCCACATACACTAGGGCTGGTGGGTTTGAACCCATTCGGGCCAGCTAAACGACAATGACAACTACAACAAAAAAACAGCTGGGCGTTGTGGCAGGCACCTGTAGTCCCAGCTACTTGGGAGGATGAGGTGGGAGAATTGCCCAAGAGTTTGAGGTTACTGTGAGCTGTGATGCCAAGGCACTCTTACTGAGGACGACATAGTGAGACTCTGTCTCAAAAAAATAAAAAAGAGAGAGAGAGAGAATGGCTTGAACCCAAGAGTCTGAGGTTGCTGTGAGATAAGACACCATAGCACTCTATGAAGGGTGACAAAGTGAGACTCTGTCTTGAAAAAAAAGTTCTATGTCCATCCTGGCTTTTAAATCTATGGGTCATTTCCTCTTACTAATGAAGTTTTTCCTTCATCCTGTATTTTTCTTTCCTGCCAGACTTGATCATGTCACTTGCCTACCCTTTATGGATCTAGCCTACCCAATTTGGCTCACTTGTTCAG